GGGCGCGCTGCGGCCTCGGCGCGGGGCAGGTGTATTTCCCACCAGCGGCGAGACCCGCGTGCCTGTGCTCGGGGGCCAGGGGCCGGCGCCGGGCGGCTCTCGGCGGTGGGGGTGACCCAGCCTGGGCTTCCGTGGCGCGTGCTTCCGCGCCGGACTCCAGCGAGGGGCAGGTGCTCTGCCCCCGGGACCGCGTCCCCCTGCGGTTTGCGCGGCCTGTTGATCTGCACAGCGACCGCCGGGGCATGGTGCTGTTCATGAAACGGTGTGTAGTGGGCCCCCTGGTCACGGTCACTTTTCACTTTCGGCTGTTTTTTTTAAGATGTATTTGTTTATGCACACGGAACTGTGGCACAGGCCAGAGGTGCAGGGGGTGGGAGGACTCCCCAGAGACAGAGCGGGGAGCAGCACAGGCTGATGGACTGAAATGCAGGGCTGAGGGGAGCAGTGGGGAGACTGGAGGGGTCTGCTGCGCCCTGGGGGCCCCTCCCTGGCGGAGGGGTGCAATCTAGGCCATAGCCCTGACCCCTGGGCCACCTTGTGGCCATATTTGAAGACCCCCACATGCGCCCGTTCATTTAGAGACCTGACGCTGTGCAGATGTCCTGTTCTACTGAGAGATTTGACCACTCATCTTAGTTTTCGTTGGTAGATTTTGCCTGCTAGAATTACTACTGTGGTCTGAAGGGTGATTTTTCTGTTTCACTTATTCCCTTTACACCAGCTGGAATTCTCTTGTGAAGAAAAGTTTTCATTTCCTGTTTACTTATTTGGAGTCAGAATACTAAATTATTGTTACTCAACCCCACCTTTTCACCAGTTCTCGGGACCCTCTCATCCGTCCTCTGCTGTATAATTTTTCCTTTGGCAAAACGTCAGATGGAATGATTTGATGTGTGTGTTCTGGGTCTGGCTTTCTCACTTAGCAAATGGCGGGAGTTCCATCGCCACTAGGGAGCTGACCAGTGCTTCTCCCTAGTGCGGGCTGAGCGCTTCGCCCTGGCTGAGGCTTTTGCACATCTCCCTTGCAGACAAGTCTCTTTACAGGCTTTGTCCCTTTTGAGATTGGTTGTTTGTAAGGGTATCTGGGAACTAGACGCTTAACAAAATAGATGATTTTCCAATATTTCTTCTTCTTCCATTGACTCTTAATAATAGATCCGTTGATTCAAAAGGCTTGAGTTTTGGCAGAGTCTGTGTATGTATTTTTCTTTTGTTGTGTGTGTATTTCACGTCATATCTGAGGATCCATTGCCAGATCTAAGGCCGTGAATACTTACTCCTTTACTTTCTTTTTTGTTGTAGTTCTAACTCTTACATTTTGCTCTTTGATCAGTCTTGAGTTTTCGTGTATAATACAAGGAAAGGGCCCGGCTTCATTCGCCTGGGAATGTTCTGCTGTCCAGACACCAGCGGTGGAAGTGGCTGTTTCCTGCCGCACGTGAAAGGGCTTTGGCAGCCTGTGGGGAGTCAGTTGGCCACGGGTGTTCGGGTTTGTTTCTGGACTGTCAGTGCTGGTCAGTTGATCTCTGGCTCTCCTTATGCCAGTCCCGTGCTGTTTCCATAGTTCTAGCCTCGTAGCGACACTCGAAATGAGGATACAGGAGTCCTCCAGTTTGTTCGTTGCCAGAGCTGTTTCTCAGTCGAGGCTGAGTGTTCTCTCTTGGCTTTCTCGCTGTGTCTTCTCTTTGCATTACGTGTATCGTCGTTGCTCCAGGAATCAGAGTACACATTTGACTCTCGCCCACTGTCCGGTGACGATGCCCCACTGCGCGTGTGATGCAGAAACCTCAGTCACACACAGCGCTTCATTGCCCCTTTCCTGGCACTGCTCTGCGCGGTTGTCGTGTACACACCCCACGCCCAAGACGACAGGGAATTTAGCTGGTTGTGGACTGAATGTTTACATCCCCCAAGAGGTCGTTTGTTAAGCCTCGATTGCCCGACGGGATGGTCCTCGGGGGTAGACGCTGGGAGTCCATGAGAGTAGACGAGACCAGAAGGATGGAGCCCAAGGTGGCAGCAGCACCCTGTCACGGCACCGTGCTTGTGCCTCCTCAGTGTTCTCTGCCACAAAGGCGGCAGAAGTCCGCAGCCTACAGCCCAGAAGAGGCTCACCCTGGAGTTCAGCCATGATGGCCCCTAGTCTCACATTTTAACCTTCAGAAACAGGAAGAATAAATTTGTTGCTTGTCAACTACTAGAATTTTGTGTGCCAGCCTAAAAAGACAAACGTGGTCCAGAATGTAAAGTGCCTGGAAGATGAGTTTGACATCTCGTCTTCACAGTAAGGAAAAAGATAGAAGGACCACTCTTCTCTCAGCATTGAGGCAACTGGGGTCTCAAGGCAGAGCGCCAGGAGAACCCCACGCCTGTAGCCACTACCGCCTGGACATGCCCGTGTGTGAGGAACTGCAGGGGCACCCCAGACTCACCCGAGAGTTCGCCGTTCCGAAGTGGGTGGAGAGGAGCGGGCTTTCGGGAACTGGAGTGCAGAGCCGAGTGTCTGCCTTCCAGTCATAAGGCCCAGGTTGCTGGAGTGAGGCTGCGGCTGACCTGCTGGTCTTCCAGGGAATGGCCTCGTCAAACCTGTTGTTGGTTTGCTTTCAGAACCGTGCTGCCACGGTGGCTGGGCTTCGTGAGGGTATGTGCCGGGGTGCTGTCTCCCCTAGACTGTGTGCAGCTCTCAGAATTGCCCCTGATCCGTCAAGGCTGAGGTTTCTGGTTCCTGGCTCGAGCACAGGCCCACAAACAGTGAGCTTCAGGCTTCCCTGAGTTTGGACTCGAACATTCATTTCCGCCAGAGCTTTTAGACTTTATTCTTAACAGATCTGCCAGAGTTATTGGGGCATCCTCAGCAAGAATTAATTTTTACTTGCTTCTCAGATGAGGGGTTTTGAGGTGTTAGAAAATGTATTTGCTTCCTCAGCAGGTTGAAGTAAAGAACAATTCTAAAGGCGAGTCTAAGAAAATATATTTGTTTCCTCAGCAGGTTGAAGTAAAGAACAATTCCAAAGGCACGTCTACAGACAAATATTTCGTCTTACACCTCCACCACTATGGCATGGCCAAGTCAGAAGTGAGGAGAATACTGGTAACAATACCACTTTCAGAAATGATAACATGTAAGTACAACGTATACTTTATTCTTAAGATACAAGCACTTAATACATATAAGCATTTTAAGCGTTCATTAGTGTTAAGTATCGATACTTCATCAGAATAAGTCAAAGGTCAGCTTCGCAGGGAGGAATAATGTGGCAGGATTTAGATTGAAGCAGCATTCAACAGTTACACTAAGTGCAGGCAGTAAGAGAACTTTGCTAGAAACGGAGCAATACTAGTCATGCTGAGAAAAACGATCATTTTCACATGTTACAAAATGCCTTTAGTTTTTCCGATCATTGAGAAAAATAAAGCCATTCTGAACCTGCAGGCTACAAAAGTGGGCAGTTGGACAGCTCTGAGTCACTTGTGGGGATACAAATCACCAACTCAAGGCACTATGGCAGATGAGTGTTGGTAGCCGATTTTTTTTTTTTTTTTTTGCAGCTTACTGCAATAAATACAGACTGTAATGATGCCACTATATCTAACCTAGAGTGCTTCTGTGTCTCGCGCACGATTGCACGGGATTGGGAGTACTTTCAAAGTATTAGCTCGTCACACCACAAGCAGGCCTTACAGAAGCGGAGGCGCGGAGAGGCTGCAGCTCGGGGAGCTCAGCGCCGGCACGCTCCATGAGCGCTGTGCCGTGCTCAGACTCGCACAAAAAGTGCAGGTGCAGCAGCTCGGCCCCTGCTCAGCACCCAGCGAAGACAGCTGTGTCTTCACGGAGCGCCTCTGGTGTCTGTTGTTAGAGTGCAACACCACTGATTCCGATTGCCTTTACAGACAAGCAGGTGTCTGCAGTGTGTCCCTAGTGTAAACGCTGGCTGAACATGAGACCAATGAAAATGTTACCCTCATATTTTTAGTTCTTTTCTGAAGGATTAGTTCAGTAACAAGGTCTGTACCCACTTACAAATGAGGAGAAGATGCAGAAGGCTAAGAGAACATTACACTTAAAACACATTGTTAACAGGAGCCATGGCAGACACTTCCTGTGAGACATCTTTATACACGGAAACACCATAAACTGGGGTTACCTATTTTCCTGCATAAATTATGAATGGGTTTTACATGCACATCAGACGTTTTGTAGTACATCACACACACGTAAGTCCCACGTACTGCAGGGTTCTGTGAGTGCTTTGAATGGTGTGGCATGATTATTCAATTGATTTGTGCTTTTTAAAAAGCTACATACAGCTATGTATTTGCAGGTTTCTTTAAAAGAAAACCTTAGAATCAGGCCTACAACATGATTTAGAGTATAACTACTTTCCTCAGTACAAATACACTGAAGTTTTGTTTAAAAGCTTTCACATATTTAAAATACCTATCAAGGTTTCCTATCCCAGCACCAACAGTCTGACACTCACTGCATCTCAGTCCTTGACAAAGGCTTCTCTAGCTGTTGCAGTCTCTGCAGTTATCATCTTTTGAGTATCTAACGTGAGTCTAACTAGTATAAAAAGGTTTCTCAAGTGCTCGGGATACTGACAGGAGTTTCTCAACTCACGTGAGCTTTGGGAAGTCTAGACATGACTATACTGACCAAAAACTCCCAAAACTCACTTTACTTAAGGAATTTCTCTCCTATGTTGTACAATAAATCTTGACTCGTGTTTTATAATTTGTAGGGATTCTGCTCTCTATGTTGCTTGATATTTAGTAAAGTCTAACATTGGCAGAAATTCCTCCCTTATAGACTTACAGGATTAACTTCTGTATGGATGTCTATAAGGAAAGATTGTGGCTCAGACTTTCCCATATCGATGCTGTTCACAAAATTTATGTCTTATGTGAATTATCTGATTATTTTGAAGGATGAATGTGAAGAATTTCCTCATTTGTGCCATTTATAGACTTTCCCTTTGTATGTATCACCTGGTGTGCGGTGAGTTTTGATCTCTGAATAAATCTTTTCTTACACTCTGGACATTCATAAGGCTTCTCCCCTGTGTGTTTTCTCTCATGTATGACAAAATGTGACTTCTGAGAGAAGGACTTCCCACATTCCTTGCATGAGTAAGGCTTCTCTCCTGTGTGGGTCCTTTGATGTAATTTGAGAACTGAGTTCACAGAGAAAGATTTCCCACATTCATTACATTCATAGGGCTTCTCCCCTGTATGTTTTCTCTGATGTTTAGTGAGGTCTGACTTATAGTAAAAGCTTTTTCCACATTTAGTACATTCAAAGGGCTTCTCCCCTGTGTGGGTTCGCTGATGTACTGTGAGGGCAGACTTCTGGAAGAAGCATTTCTTACACTCTTTACATTCAAAAGGTTTTTCTCCTGTGTGAGTTCTCTGGTGGGTTTTGAGGTGTGAATTTCTAGAAAAGACCTTTCCACATTCCTTACATTTATAGGGCTTCTCCCCTGTATGTGTTCTCTGATGTACTGTGAGATGTGATTTCTGGGAAAAATATTTCCCACATTCTTTACATTCATACGGTTTTTCCCCTGTGTGTGTTTTCTGATGCACCAGGAGGTATGCCTTAACATAGAAAAACTTCCCACATTCAGTACATTCAAATGGTTTCTCGCCTGTGTGTGTTTTCTGATGTTCCATGAGGTGTGGTTTCTGATAGAAGGATTTCTCGCACTGATTACATTCATAGGGTTTCTCCCCCGCATGGGTTCTCAAATGTCTACTGAGAGACGACAGGTGGCAGAAGGTTTTCGCACATTCTTTACATTCATAGTTTTTCTCTCTGGTGGTAGTTTTCTTCGGTGCCGTGCAGTCTTCATTCCTGGACCTCCCGCTCTCACTGGGCCTGCTCTTCGGATGGGTATGCTGGTGCACAATGAGGGCAGTCTTCTGGCAGAAGGACTTTCCACAGTCATTACATTTGTAAGTTTTCTCTCCGGTAGATTTCTGGTGTTTTGTGAGTTCTCCATTCCTAGAGGGAATTTTCCAGAGTCATTAATGTACAAAGACACTGCTTACCAGCCTGCTGTTTTTTTCCAGCTAACTCTGAGAACTGATCTCTCCGTTCCCATGTATATTAGATTTATAGGGTTTCTCCACTATGACTGTTCTCTGACAAACTTTCTGATTTGACGTTTTGTAGAAGGAATCTCAACCTGCATTATATTCATAGGGTGTTTCAATTGTCTAAATTCTACTTTATAGATGAAAGCTGCTTTTATTTGGTAATTAAGAAATCAAGAGACTGCTTCAAAGTTTGACTTTCCTGATCCTGAAAAAATCTGCTATGAAAAAGGTTCCAATCTGGATTGTAACCTTTGACTCACCTCCATCTTAGTTTCCTAACATTTAGTATTAACTAGCATTCTCCAACATCCAGTAGCCCCTTCAAGTCTCTTTCTTACAAAGCCTCTAGCTTTAAAATTGAATTCTGGAACTTGCCTTGAACTTCCAGCTTGGCATTCCTGATTTCTTGCTCCGAGATCATGACTATCCCGTAGGTCTTCTACAAAGGAATCCGAAATAGCATTTGAATCCTGGTACATCATTATGGTTACAAGGTTAATTCTTAACCTTCAGGCCAGTATCCACAAATGAAGGAACTTTCAGGTGCAAATTTCCTTCAGTGCCACTGACTTGTAAGAAACAAACTCTAAAAACTGCTATAGCAGAGTGGAGAAGGAAAATAGTTCTAAGCCTAGTACCTGTGATGCTTTTTATGTACAACCTTAAAAATAAGAGAGGAAGAAATTAAGATACCTCAACCCCCAAAAAGAATAAAGATGAGAAAAATGATATTCAAAATGTTACTAAAGGAGAGGAACAGAGGGACTTCTAGAGAACAGTCTAGGTTCATGAAGAGCAATGAGAAGTTAAGGAAAGGATGAGAAAAATTAATAAACAATTGTATTCACTAGAAATAGAAGTGGGAAGAGCTAAATGGGGGAAGAAGCTAAGGCCAGGCCTTCATCTGCGCAAACCCAGTGTGCATGCTGGGTTCCCAGGGCTGAGCAGTCTGCCCTTCCCCTCGGCCCTCTCTACTCATACATGACCGCACTGGAGTGCTCAGAGTAGGCATTTCTCTGTGTACAGGCAGAGTCCTATAACTTGAGCTTTTACTCTCCGTCTAGTGGCTTAATTTTTATGACTTAGGACAGAAGAACTCTCAGTAGTCACCATAAGGGACACAACAGAAGACAGTGTGACTTTCACTTGTTCACCAAAATCCAGTCTTTCAGTGAGTACCTAGTGAACAACTAATAAGGGCCATGCAGCATTCCTTTTCCTGGTAACACCTGTGTGCACAAATCAGAAAGTAAGTGAACGTCAGCTTAGGAAGCAGAATGAGGCTGTGTTTGTGCTTTCCCCAGCTTAGGGATAAACAGTGCTATAAATCTATGAGGTGCAGCCAGTTTTAGGAAGGCTGGTCATTGTTTTGTGGACTAATACATCCAGAAGGAAGCGTCAAGTGTGAAATAATGTGACTTACAAGAGACAACGATTTGTGATCTGAGCTCAGAATCTAAAGAGATGAAGTGAAAACTGGTGCTGAAAATAACTAAGGCCCTTGTCAGTGAAAGAAAGGAAACGGCATTTAAAAACAGTGTGTTAGATTCATACTTTAGTATTAGAGCTACAAATTTCAATGGCAGGAAATAACTAGAAATCTATTTTTAAAAGATAAACTGAAAGCCTAAAAGACAAGGTTAGGCAGGCGTGAGATTTTATATATAGGAAAGAGAGGTAGACTAACTTAAAGCATCACCCACAGGAGGGAATTCAGGTGGAGAGAATAAAAACTGGGAGGCGGGACTTAAGTGGCTCACGGAAAAAGCTTAGGTGTGCTCTATCAGTCAAAAAGTGCTAAGCATTTCAAAGAGATTCCTAGTAAATATTTCAAAAGGTTTCAATCATCTCACTAATGACATGGGTTAAAATTTCTTACTTACCAGGGTAGTTCTGGTGTGGAAATTCTAATTGCGATGGCTCTTTTCTTTGCTTCGACTTGAAGACTGCATTTCGTTTAGTCACACGATAACCTAACGATGGAAAAGAGAAATAATACAAGTTTCCTGGCATTTAGGGTCTCTGCAGGATTAGTTCCCACTCATACTTGGCACTTGTACTGCATTCTTTCAGTGGCAAAGGTGGTGACAAGTTATTTTTGTTACCCCAACATGGATTCATAAGCTTTGACCCCTGAAATACAGCTAGTATCATCAACTCTGTGGGAGTCCAGAAACTAGAAAAGGAAATGCACGCTACTAGTAGTTACAAATCGAGAAAGTTTTCTTACCCACTGAGATCAGGAGACTATAGTTGTCCTGCATCACTTCTCTGTACAGTGTCCTCTGAGCACTGTTCAGTAACTGCCACTCCTCTGGGGTGAATTCCACAACAACATCCTTGAATGTTACTTGTCCCTGTAAACATACCAGTTTAGACTGAAGGGATCAGAATAAAATACCAATGAACAGATGCATAAACCAGTTCTTAATGTACTGACTCGAATTTACTCTGGACAGTGTGGATGCACTACTACTCTGTATTATGCTTTTACCCATAGATAAAATATCGGTTCACTATGTCCTTCATGAGCTACAACTTCTGCCTGGAACTCTGCTGGGGTAGAAAGATGAACGGGAGCCACTATGCCTGCCGTCAGGAAGCTTACATGCTGCCGGAAAGGCAGAGTAAATGCTTATTACATGTGGTATGAACACTGAGTTTTATGACAGAACAAATGGTTGCAAGTTGGGATAGCTATTCGCATATAAAATTAGATTTCACTAGCTGGTCAAACTGAGAATATAAACTTTAGGAACAAAGAACACTGGCAAAGACATAGCAACATTAAAAAAAAATGGAAAGGACCGGAAACTACATGTAAAATAGTGTAAGAACAGGACCGAGGACCAAGGCTCGTTAGAAGGTGAGAGAGTCAAGTCAGGTAACAGAACATAAAGGAATCTGAATGCTGGACCGTGTCTCTGGAACATTAAAATATATCTGCGTGCCTACCGATTAGGTGCCTGCTCCCAGATACAACGGCTGGTCAACATACAACATTTGTAAATATATTACTCTGCTTATTAAAACGCGACAAGTTCTATTCTGTTTATAAAAGAACAGAATATGAGTAGATGTTTTCTTTCAGGCTATTTGGATGCTTAGGCATCTTTGGAGTGCGCCCTTTCACTTTGTAGGTGGGGAGACGGATAGCAGGGGTCACTGACGGGACAGATGTCAGAGAAAAGAACTTTAAAGTAGCAAAGACAAATGGCCCGTGAGAAAAACAGACTGTTAGAAAATTAAAAGAGCTATGTGCAGTAATAACATGCATGCTGCAGTACTGCAGTGATGGGGCAAAGCGTAACAATTCGGTAATTACTGGAAATGGACAGACAGGATGGGCGAGGGCAGAATGACTCAGTGTCTACTAAGTACCAGTGCTAATTAGTATCATTCCTTCATTTCTATGGATCAAAGTATTTAAGGCTATGAACTTTCCTCCAGTAACTGCTGTATTTATACTTATGAGATTAGAATCTGAAATGTAGCATTTTCACTTGAATATTTGGCAGGCTGTAAATTCTTATCTCACTACTTTTTCTTGAAAATACTGCATTATTCCTTTTAAATATATTTACATACTACTAACATGAGGCATGTCAATTTTATTTCCTTCCTTGCCGGATGACATTGGACTTTTACTCATGAAACCCAGAGTATATTCTTTCCTTTCCTTTAAATAAGTCTAATAGTGGCATTAGATTCGATCTTGATGTTTGCCATTCTGAGATGATTCTCTTTGGCAAATGGAGAGTAATCAAAGTGGCACATAAGAAAAAAAAAAGAGATACAAAAAGACAACCTTGGAGAAATTAAGAGAAATGACATAAAGCATACAGGAAGAAAACTATATTGCTTAGGTCCGTCTGTATCATAAATCACTGTAAGTATAAAAAAAGGAATATAATGGCAGAGTAAATGAAATTATAAACCAGATATACATCACAACTCACTTTAGAGCCAAACACACATACAGTTTGAAAGTGACAAACAAAAACTTATTTCATGAAAACAGCAATCAAAAAGAGTTCGGCTGGCTACACAAATAAAAGAAAACATGAGTCCTAAGTGAAAAACTGATACAGGATGAAGGACACTATGTATTGGTAAAAGGGTCACTTCATCAAGAAGATAAAGTATTTATATCTAGCAAAGGGAGCCCCAAAATATGTAAAGTAAAAAAAAAAGTTACAGATTTAAATGAGATATGTGCAGTTGTGAGCAGTAATGGACGACAGCATCAGACAGGAAGTGAGGACTGCAGAGCACGCCTCAGCAGTTAGATCTGCAGGACACGTGGGCTCCTCACCCTGCGCGACAGACTATGCATTCGCCGCAAGTGCGTGTGAGGCTTCTCCTGGACAGACAGCGACAGCATGCACTCCCCGAGTCAGACCTCCAAACACGAGAGGACCCAGGTCACCCACAGCATGTTTTCCAGCCACAGTGGAACAAAGGTAGAGCTCAGTCACAGAAGGAAATGGAGCTTCACAAAGCACGTGGATACTCAGCAGCACGCTCCAACAGCAACGCACCACAGAAAACCCCCGGGATGCCCAGACACTCAGAGAAGGGAAATGAAAAAGCAGTGCACCGAGGCAAGCAGGCCACGCTCAGGCCACGGTCTGCTGGACCCTTTAACATGGCCTCACGTGGACTAGCGTGGACTCCAGACTAGATGCAGACCGTGAGCCCTGCTCAGGTAGATGCTCCCCGGTGCCATTACAGCCTGGTGACTTCTCAAGGAACAAGGGCTGAATCGTGGTGTGGACATACCAAGGCATTATTTAGCTGTTAGTACAAGGCGGATGAACTTGCAAAACCTTACGCTAAGTGAGAGGCCAAGCACAGTGGCCGGGGTTATGTGATGGCATGCATATGAAGCCGCCAGTGTGTAGACACAGTAGATGGCAAGCTGCCAGTGACATGGGCGCGTTTTCTTCGAGGTGGCGAAAAATGTTTTGAAACTACGTGTGGCGTGGTGCACAGCAGGGTGAATATTCTGCATGCCACCGCTTGTACTTTAAAATGACCACTGTTAACATCAGAGATAGCTTCTAAGAATTAGGAGTTGTTAAGCCCAACGTGAAGAACACAGATACTCCCAATCTCTTAATTTTCACCGGAAAGCTCAACCTTTAACAATGGCCACACGTAATGAGATTTGCTGTCCTTGAAGACATGTTCATTTCACCCATTTCTGAGAAAAAAAATTTTAAATACACAAATCTCTCGTTGCCCGTCAAATTTGCCTGCCAAATCTCAGCCCAAATCTCACTTTGCCCCTCAGCTGCTCTTTTATGGAAAAAGGCCCACGGCATGTGGCTGTGCGAGTTCACACGCCGGACAATCAAGTGCTTTTTCCTCAAGACACCAGACACTGAAAAGCATGCGTATTTCATGTGACTTTCCCTTTGGGTCACAGGGAATCTTATAAAGATGTGAACTCAAGGGTCAAGATTTAATCATTTTTCATCAAGAATATACATAAGGCTGACAATTTACTGTAAGTAACTCGAGGAGGAAGACAAAGTCACGGTGTCATTGTCTTGATTAATATCAAGAGGCAACAATCAATCGCTTATTTTTAAAGATTTACTTATTTATGCACACAAGAACTGGGGTACAGGCCAGAGGTGCGGGGTGGTGAGAGGACTCCCCAGAGATAGTGGGGAGCAGAACAGGCAGATGGACAAAGTACACTGCTGAGGGGAGCAGCGGGGAGACAGGAGAGGTCTGCTGTGCCCTGTGGGTCACTCCCTGGCTGGGGATCGAACTCCTGCTGCAGTGGCCACAGATAGCTTCCCAGTGCTGCGCCCCAACTTGTCACGCCACCAAGGAGGGTCCAACAATTGCTTTTATACCATCAATTCAAACTGCATTTTAATGTTTTGATCTCTGACCCCTAAAAAAAATCTTGGGGTTCCCAATGATGTGCAGATGTCTCTGAGAATTGGGGTTGCTTGGCAAACATTCCCTGCAGATGATTTTTTAAGTATTTCCAGTGTTTAATACATGACATTCCTTCCTCAAGTCACTGAAACACACACTGAAATGAAGAAAGAACTAAATTACTTACCCTGGATTTTTTCATTTTCTGCTGCTCTTGGGAAAGGATTGAAACTATGAAGCCAGATCAGGGAAAGCTGGAAGACAGATGTCATAAAAGAATTTATCCTACATCTCCAGGAAGCACCTGTGAGAAATTTCCACAGAACATTTTAGTAACAGATTAAGCTATGAGAAATGTTCTTCGGGCCATGGAGGAATGGAAAACAACACTCAAGGAGCACCGCGCGTGCCACGGTGGCTCTGCCTTACCTTGATGACCAGGGGCATCTTAAACATTTTTCCTGCTAGTCTATTTGGAAAATTATGTATCCATTTACTAAATAATACAAAAGAGCTTAACATTGAAGCATCTGGCCTGCAGATGCAGGAGCCAGGTCTGGTGCCTGCACAGGTATGGAGCCCGTGTGGCAGCGGTGAGCGAGCGCAGGAACGGTGCGTCATGCCAGGTTTCCTTATTGGTCCTACAAGCCTCACAGGGTTGGGTCCTCAAAGCCCTCGAAAGAAGCCCTGAACTGCAGTTTCTCAAAATCCACTTCCCCAGGGACACTTTTGACTTACGCACAACAGAGTGGACTGGACACCACGGTTCTGTGCCACACTGCTAGCCAGTCGCAGTCGCACTGCAGGTGTCATTCAGGTAGCGGAAATGGCGAGTTCTGAGCGGCCTTTGTATGCCACTTCCGACCGGAGGCACTGACCGGTCTCCGCAAATCCACTAGGTCCACAAATAGCGGGTCGGGCAGACGGCACGGACCCCCCTGGGACGGCCCTAGGACGCATTCCTAAAACTGACCGGTGCTGCCGTGACCACTAATCTGCCGACTGGCAGAAACCTACCTGCTGAAACTGGCCACCGTCATCCCGAAACGGGCTTTTCCGTCCCCAGCAAGAGGCGGCCAGCGCCGAGGAGGTGGTGCTTACAGTTTGCCAGGGGAAAGCCCAGGGGCAGCGGCCGCCCCCGCGAAAGGGCAGCCTGGTGGAGAGGGGGGAGGGTCCCCACCCAGAGGAGGGCGGGAAGTGAGCTGTTCCCCCTGCCCGAAATCGCCCGCCCTCGAGGTGAAGCCCCAGACGGGACTGACCCAGAGCGAGGCCAGGGCCCACAGCGTCTGAGGCACCTTCCTGCGGGGACCACAGAAACGGCGACACTGCCAGACCCCCCCCTCCCCCACGGCCTCCCCACGCCCGTGTCCTCCGCTCAGAGCCAGGAAACAGCCGCTCCCCAGGGCTCTGCCCCCAATCCTGCCTGGCTTGGCCTTGGTCTCTCCGGGTCCTCCCCCTGCTCAGCTCCGGCCTCCCTTGGCTGGGGCACAGAACCTGGACCCCCCCCCCCTTTTCCTGGGGACCCCCCACTTAAAATTTCTCCCAGCTCTAGACAGCATTCCAAATTTCTCCAGTAAAACTCAAAATGTCCTCAATTTATGTTTTAAAGATTTATTTATGTACAAAGAACGGGTGCAGGCCAGAGGTGCGGGTGTGAGAGGATTCCCAGAGGCAGAACGCCCGACTGACGAAGTCCACTGCTGAGGGGGCAGCGGGGAGACAGGAGGGTCTGCTGTGCCCTGGGGTCCCTCCCTGGCCGGGGGTGGAACTCTGCTGCAGGGGCTGGGGCAGCTCCGTGGGGCTGCGCTTCACCTCTTGGGCCCCAGAGTTCTCTGGAAGTTGCAAGAATTTTCCTAAACTGAGCCCCCATGCTGCCGGCCACAAACATTCTGGGTGGTCAGTGACGGCTCTGAGCAGCGCCAAAGCCTGGCCGGGAAGTGGACCAAGGCCCGTGGGCGACACCCGCCTGCCCGCCCAGGGTCTCTGCGGCCGCGCAAGCCCGGCAGGCCCAGCAGTGCGGCCGGCTGTTTGTCCGCGCCCTCCCGCCCGCGGAACGTGCCCCCTTCTTAGTGCATTGTGGGGGGCACCCGCCAGCGCGGCCCCCGAGCCCAGGGCCCGCACGGGAAGGCGCCGCCCGCGCCCCAGGCCATCCCGGCTCCCGGCCAACCGCAGCTGCCAGCGGGGCCCCGCCCCGGCCCGGCCCGGCCCAGCCGCGGGGCGGCCTTCACACACCTGCTGGGGCGGCCTCGGGTCCGGCCCGCGCAGCCTCCACCCCGCCCTCTGAGGAGCCGCGACCACCTGCCGGCACCCGAGACCTCCGACCCCCTGGGGTGTCAGGCCGAAGATGGCGACTTCGAACCCGGGGTGGAGGTGCGCGTGCGCAGAAGGCGCCTTGGGCCTCACTCCGAGACTACGCTTCCCAGGAGTCTCCGCGGCAGCGCCGGGGTGTCGCGTAGAGAGCGACGGGTGGTAACGCAGCCATGAGTCATCAGGCCTGGCCAGCCAGGCGGGGAGTGGTCACAGCGGCGACTGCCCGCGGTCCTTTGCGTTCTTGTAACAAGGGAGGTTGACCGGCACATTTACGGTGGCCGGTCGTGTGTCTTCTCTGAGAAAGGACGTGCTCAGGTGGCCCGTCCCTATGGGACTAGCTCCTGGCTGGGTGCTGAGCTGTCCGAGTCCTTTGCGTGGCTTTCAACGTTAGCCCGTTCAGACGCACGTTCAGAGCGCTCATTGGCGCTCTTCACTGTTGCGCTTCCGTTTGCTGCACGTGCGCATGCGTGAACTCCTCCCTCCGCACGACGGATGCCGTCTGCCACGACAGTGTTTGGGAAGCGACTGAGGCGCCAGGGTGCTGCCTCTGCACTCCTGACCTTCCGGGGAGCCACCGAGCAAGCCCCAGTATGGGGGTGCGGGGGAACTCGGCGAACCCACCAAACCCCCACCTGTGACGCACGCGCAGCACTCCCCCTGGCGCGGAGACTCGGGGCGGAAGTGGGCCGCGCGCGCCCTCTGCGCATGCCTAGCCCGCCCCCACCGTGCGCTTCCGGTTTCCCTGCTTGCGCCCGTCCGGCGCGCGAGGCTGTTCCGAGGCCGCGGGGTCTCCGCGCTCCGCCGGGGCGCTCCCCCGGGGCTCGGGGAGGGCGTGGGGTGACCCGGGGCGGGGGCGATTTCGCGGACGCCCGGCTGGCGGGCTCTGGGGAGCTCCGGGTCGAGGGGCGCAGGCCGCCGCCCTCCCCGCGAGCGAGTTGCCAGGCGCCCCGGAAGGGGCCGCGGGAGTCGCCCGCGCGTCTCCCCGGCTTGAGAGTCTAAAGCGGAAAGAGTCGGACCCCGACCCCGAGCCGGTGCGGCCCCTCGCAGAGGAGCTCGTGCCCTGAAAGACGGGCTCGGGGTAGAGCGAAGGGGGTCGCTTTGAGGCCCGGCTTCGACCTCAGAATAAATCTGTGTCCCGAAAGCAGTTGCTCGCTTCCCTGTGGGGTCCGAGAAGCAGAGGGGGACAGGGGGTCCGAGAAGCAGAGGGGGACAGGGGGTCCGAGAAGCAGAGGGGGACAGGGGGTCCGAGAAGCAGAGGGGGA